AGAATGCAAATACCCGTCTGTGAGAAAATAAATATCATTTAGGGAAAACCGTGGACTCGTTTGGAAAACTTTTTAAAATTGGGATTTTAAAATACTCGTTCATGGGAAAAGCGAGTACCCGTCTGTGGGAATTAAGTACCGTTCAGGGAAAGTAAAGTATCGTTCGAGAAATTTCTATTTGTGATCTAACCTTTTGTTTAGGTACATTGAAGACCCGTTGCGTCTTTTAAGGTTGTTGGTTAAATTTACATTTTTGTTCTCCGGCTGCATTGTCTTACAACACTGACCAGTGCGACTTTTAAGACAGATGAGAAGACTGTCATTCTTCTGTGCCCCCTAATAGGGGTTTATGCCGGGAGGTTTCCAATATGCTGATATTGGACTTGTAAATAATATAAAAATATTGAATGTTTGGACTTTAAAAATGACATAAAATTAAAAGAAAATGAATGTTATAAAATACAAAATAATATTTAAGCTATAGTTGAAGTCATTTCAAGAGGATAAATTACATGCACTTGAGACTTGCATAAGAGTGATGAAAAATTGAATGACTCATCTAATTACTATAGTTAGACTTATCTTTGGCTTTAAATTCTATCATATTTGAAGTTGATTCAATTAAATATATATACTGATGTAAATGAATATTTATGTGATCAATTTGAAAACATAAATTAGGGCTAAACTTGATTGGATCAAAGCTTAGGGGGCTGGCAAATTGAATTAAATTTTGAATATTATAAATTGGGGCTAAATTTAAGATATGTATTTTTAAATGTTGAAATGAAGAATTAATATTTCAAATCTTAACCAGCTTCGTAACAAGTTTACAAACGAACAAAAGACAATATTTTATAAAGCTTAAAGTGAACCTTCACATGCATCAATATATTCATTCAAATAAAGCAAATTTATCTAAATTCGAGTCTTACATGTGATTCAATTCATACTTTAAAATTATGCAAATTGCCTTAAGGTATGTAAAGTCGTCTAAAATAGTCAAAATATGTGAGATTTAAATGCCTGCATGTGCTTCGACCAACTTATAGAATGTTTAAATATTAGATTCGAGAATATTGCACGGGTTAATCGGGTCGCCTTTTCTATAGGGCATGGTTGTAAGTCCCACCCAACGAGTTTGATCCTCTTCCTCGTAAGAATTGAAGTTGACGAGTCTAGTAATTTTAAAATAAATGTCCAAATCCTAAAATAAAAAAAAAATTACTGGTTCAAATCACCTAGTTCAAATCTCTTACCTATAAATATAGGAGTTAACAAGATTTAATTTTTTAAAAGCTTAAACTAACAAAACTAAATGTTCCCCCTTCAAACTTAAATATCTTAAGTGTTCAAATTCCTTGATGTTAGTTGTTTGATCTAAGATTTCAACCGGAGGGGTTAATCTTTAAAATCAAGCTTTTCAAAATAACTAACTAATATGTAAAATAAAATTCAATCACTTAAGAGTTAAATACAAAATTCATCCGCCCTCCGCCAAAGTTTGTTGAGGGTCACAAACTTTTAATTGACTTCAACTTATAAAAAGTGAATGACAGATCAAATTCATCTTTATATTCACAATTAAAGCAATCAGGCCGAATTCTATGTCTGCATGATTCTGTAGCCAAATGACACCACAAAATAATAGTTTTGACCAGAGCCCTCTGATCAGGTGATTTTCGCCATTATATTTAAGTCACGACCGAGCCCTTATGTTTCCCAACAACTATTCTATCCTTTGAGTCGTGAATTGTAATAGTACAATTACTTTGACATGAAACCTTCTGTTAGCTCAGGTTGATTTAAATTTGTCCCCTTAGACAAATATCCATCTCAGATTTACAAGAATTTCTTGGACGATGCAACTCTGGTTGCTAAAAAGTATATTTCTATCAGGTTGGGTTGACTACCTCTTTTGAGGGAATACGACGGCCCAGGATGACAGAATCATGAGATCTTAATCAGGTTTCATCTTTATTCTCACACCATCAATTCTAAGCTTCAAGTGATGAATTATACAACTAAAATTCTAAGTCTTTTGCTATTGTATGTTACATACTCAATTCTTAATGGGTAGCCTTAATCGAAATTGCTCCTATTATTGGGAGGGATAATTAACCATAGGGCTATGGGAAACCTTGAATCCCAGATCAAAAAGTCATCGCAAAATGAGGGCGAAATCTCTGGGTAATCTACTATTCAATCTGCCTTCTAAAAATTTGACCCTGCAAAGCTCTCTCAACAAACAAAAATAAAACAAAATACAGAGAATTTTGGGGAGCGGTTGTGAATTTTTGAAGCCCACACTGTGACCAAGTTCAGAGTGGCACTCTTAGTGGCGTGTGTTTCTTTTACATATTAGTTAACTAAAACAATACTTCAGGGAACCATGTCTCATATGGGAGTCAAAGGCCTATGTAAAAGGTCATCCAAATTCTTGTCTATCAATTCTCCTTCAGGGATCTTGGATTATTGACTCGCTTTCTTCGAGTTGAAGTTATCTTCACTGCCAAGGCTTATTTATCTCTCAACGCCATACACAAAGATTTGCTTTCCTTGTATGAAAGATGCAAAACCAATTGTTACCTGCCTTGTCCCTGCTACACTGTCTCCTTTTTACTTTGACATAGTGCTATACGGTCTCTTTTTGTATCGCCCTATTGTTGGCTTGCTTTAGTTCCTGTTGCTTACACGATCCCTATATATTAAATAGGCCATATAAATTCAGGCATAATCTTCACTACCCTTCCCTCCCCTTCCCAAATGCATTTTCCAATAAAGTAGAGGTGTCGATTCGGGTTCGTGGCTCGGGTTTGGGTCCAACCCAAAAATTATCTTACCAGTATAGGGTCAACCCGAAACCGACCCAAATAATAAACAGGTCTAAAACTAAGACCCAAATTCGAGCTTGACCCGTTAACCCAAACCTGACCGAAAATTTCGTGCTTATTTGCATAATGTTTGGATTTTCGGGTTCAACCCGAACCCGACACGAATAATAAATGGATCGAAATGTAGCCGAACCCTACTCGAAAAATATTCGGTTAAACACTGACCCGGATTTTTTTGAGTCGAGTTCCGAGTTGTGTTGGCATGTTGTGTCAATTTTTAGCACTCCTACAATGAAGGGAAAAATACAGCCTAGTGAGCTGGCTGGTACCCAAGTGCTCCTGGATGGGGTGAACTGAAGTTTGGGTAAGTGAATCCAGAATGGGGACGCCCTGTTCCAGTAGAGTTTATTTTAATAATAGCATTTTAATTTGAATCAGGCATGAGAGTCCTCAATTTTGGAGGCTCATGTTCTCATGTATGTTTTTGTCAGTGCTGAAGTTTAAATGACATAAGGTAAACATGGGCATGTATTCTACTTAGAATATGAACTGTTTCTTCTTTTTTTGATATTGTAGGAAGCCGCATGTAAACGTTGGGACTATTGGGCATGTTGATCATGGGAAAACTACTCTGACAGCAGCAATAACTAAGGTTTAATTTTGTTTGAAATGATTTGTTCGTGATTTGTTATTTCATTTTCGTCTCCATTTGAAAAGTTAATTATTTTATGTGCATGAAAGCTCTGCATTATCATGATGGTAAAGTTTTATTTTCTTGCTTAGGTATTAGCTGAAGAAGGTAAAGCTAAAGCTGTTGCTTTTGATGAAATTGATAAGGCTCCTGAGGAGAAAGCTAGAGGAATCACCATTGCCACGGTAAGAATATGTAATTCTTTATAGGGGTCTTTACATACATACCACCTAATTCTTATGTATTTACATTTCTAACACCTAAACTTATTTTTTTACATTTATACCACCTTAATCTTTCACACCACATGAAAATGCCACCATTTTAACTTTTAAAAGGTCAAATACAACTTTTCATGCATAGGTAAGGTGCATATATGTAAAAATTGAAATTTAAGTTTTAGATATATAAATACGTAGGAATTGGGTGGAATCCATGTAAATCTTCTTTTTTTATATATACTCGAGCATATATAGGCAGAGATTTTTTTTTTAAATTATTTTTGTGAATTTCAAACTATGCTGCCTGAGTGCTTTTGTAAATATTAGATTGATTTTGCAGGCCCATGTAGAATATGAGACAAGTAAAAGGCATTATGCTCACGTAGACTGCCCTGGACATGCAGATTATGTCAAAGTAAGTTGATACATTTTTATGTTGACTTTAACTCGGTCAACTATCATTTTGATATTCCTTGAATGGTAATCCTTTTCACGTGGGATACTATGATTAGGAATGTTTTAAGCAACTGCATAAGTTTTAATTGGGAACTCAGCTATTTAAGAAGTTTTAAATTTCAATATTGTAGACATTTAAAAGAATAAAAGGGCCAGGCGTGCAATTTATGGCGGAACGTTTTTGTACTTTTGATCAATATTTTGAAGGACATGGAACCTATTTTTAACTTAAAGGTGTTGAAAACTAGCTGGAAAGACTCTTTTTTTGCTAGTCATAACTTTGCACCTATAAAATTTATTTTATTATAAGTTAATTTTTAGGGAAATTGCTTCAGTTCATTTCCTTTTAATAGTAAAGAAAGCAAAAACAACCATCAAAACAATATATTGCTAGGTCCTTTTTAATTCAATTATCAATTCATTTTATTTTTAAATGCATCACATTGACATTGTGATTGAAAATGTATTGTATTTTGTATCTTTTGAAGTGTTAACTGTGTTAGATGGTCTATTTTGTAAGCATGGGTGGGGACCCCATTGTCACATAACAAAAAGAAATGAATTTGGGCGCTACGAGGGAAAATATTTATATGGGTGGGGGGAATTAGAGTTACAGAACTAATAATGGTGGGGAAGGTAGGATTTTATGGTATGTTTTATTATGCGTTATTGGCAAATTATTTGTTGAAGGGACCACTGAAATTCAATGTCCTTGATAGAACCTCATAATTTTGGTTTTTTAAATCAAGTATATAATTGGATTGACATCTATTGAAGATGAGGTGATTGGAAATATATTGATGTGATTTGGACACATTTATAACGAAGGGTAGAAATTTTACCAATTTGGTAAGTAGATAAAATTAATATTGGAGGATTAATAATAAAGGTAAGCGTAAGGTAACATAGAACGAGTTTTATATGCATGCTTTTTGAAGAATTGATTTGAAACCTCAAACATCTCTTAGTAGGAATGAATGGAATACGAGGTTCATGAAGGTTAATGTTGGCCCTGAGTACTTGAGGTAAAGTTTGATGATGATGAGACTACATATGCACATTAAATATGATTTTTTTTACAATAATGATTATTTTAGGATTGACATTATTTTCTTTCTTATATTTAGCATATTAACTTTGGCACACGTAATGCTAGTATATCTTCATGGAGCATATGCTTGTGTAATATATTCATGCCACCTTTCTTTGTGGCCAATAATTGTTTGTTATCTAAATTTTGACTCTTGATTTGTGTTTAATAGATTGGAAAGTTGTTTTCATACGACTAAAATTATATTGATTTACCTGACGCCTATTTATGGTAGCAGGAGCTTGTCTTACTTCCTTGAATTAATTAATAAGCGTAGCACACCATTGTTTTGCATGGAGACTTTGGATCAAAATTGTGGTGGCCCTTAATATTTATGTCGACCGTGGATAGTTGGCCATTGTACGCCAGACAATTTCATCTCCCTTGAATAATTTTGAGTTGGGAGGGCATAAGTTGTTTCCCCAACTAGGAGATTTCTTTGGGCAACATTGTGCTTTCCGTTACTTTTTTGCTGGAGTCCAATAATGGTGGGCATGGTTGTTTGTTCTGTATCACGATCTGAATGAACATATATCTAGCTTAAGTTGAATGAAGTTGATTATGCCAAGTTCTTGAAATCTCAAGCTTTAGGATAGCATGATAAAACAAGCCCATCTATGGTAGAACGAGCATATTTATAAGTTCCTTGTTATGCCTCTCATATGATTAGCCTAAATAATTTGCTTCATTCATCAAGGACGAATCTCACAAACTTCTTAAATGATGAAGAGCCCTGATGCGATTAAAGTGGTGAAGAACCAGAATTAAATGAGTCGAAGAAGCCCATCGAGCCAGAAAAATCAAAGAGCATAGATTAATGAAAGGATAAGTTTTTTTTCTTTTTTATTTGTGGTATTGAGGGGGAGAGATTTACATGCATACCACATAAAACTCTCATGTTTACATATCTCACATCTTAAATCTAACATATATCAATATAACAACCAAAATATTTTTAACACCTTAAAAATAATACTCCGTTAACTCATGAAATCTTTATTTCCCTTACGCTCATAGCTCTATCTGTTTCTTCTATACATTGGTTGGGAAAATGTGAGAGACAACATTTGTGGCAGAAAAAGAGTTTTATGCTCCGCAAATAGATATTTGGGATGAGCTACTTGCTAGATATGATTTTGTGTTGTAGTTCAAGGGGAAATGATGCTAGAGGGATCATCAAAGATGGGGGACGAGGGTGGTTTTTCGTTCTTGTCATCCGGAAGGAGCAAGGCTAGGGTTAAATGTGCTGCCTTGCATATCAAAGTTGGCTAGGATGCTAATGGCATGCGATTAGAGGAGGAGAGGGGGAGCAGGGATTTGATGGAGCTCAAGGGGCAGTGGCTGAGAATGAAATGGACAAAATTGAACTAGCAGACCAAGACCCAGCTCTTAAATCTTTTTCTAAAAGTTTCAATTTTCTGTTTGCTTCTCTACCTGATGAAGTTATTGGGGACAAAATGGGGACATGGACGAAGGTTAATGGTGCAGTATCTTTTGGTTTTAAAGTCTTTTAGGTGTTATATCAGTAAATATTAGTTTTTGGACGTGAGAGATGTAAATGTGAATGTCTTATATTGTAGGTATGTCTTATATTTGGGACAAAATGGGGACATGGATGAAGGTATTTTTTGGCGTTGAAGTCTTTTAGGTATTATATCAGTAAATATTATTTTTTGAACGTGAGAGATGTACATGTGAATGTCTTATATTGTAGGTATGTAAATCCCCATTTTATTTTTTTATGGGTTTAGTTAAACTTAATCATCAATGTTTTGGAAGGTTCACTTATGAATAACTTTAACCAGGGACCAAAAAGAAGTATGCCAATATCATAAAAAGAAAAATTCCCTTGAGGCCATGATAGGCTTCAAATGAGTCAATGAATCATTATTAGCTTTTGCTTATGAATGAAATGATTTACTATGGGTTGAGCATGAAGCTTTAATTTCACAAAGCTTCAAGTCAACGTGCACATGTTCGTAATTTGTTAAGTAGTTGCTCATCTACTCTTTGAATAAGTGATTGATCATATATAAAGAAAGTTTCAAATTTAAAGATCACAAACTAGTAAAAATGGAAAAAATATTCTCTCTTTAGATGTGACTCAGTGATTATGAGGGTAGTAGATTAAATTCAAAGAAATCAATGTGAAATTTGGACCATACAAAATTCAATGAGCAAATGCTAATTTACCACTATCAGAATCACGGTTATGTTGAATTCAGACAAAATCTAGAGTGCTAGCAAATTCATAACAAGATACATATAAGAAAGAAAGAATTTATTGGAGTAAAACATTCAGACCTTATATTAGTATAAGGAGATGACTTCTCTTAGAATTAGATAACTTCACTTATATGGCACTTGAAGGAATCACTCATCCATCTTATGCACAGAATATTAAAAACTGGAAATAAATTTTATTGAATCAAAGTATTATTACATGGCTCAAATAGTGAATTTATAGACTACTCATCCCTATATTGGTAGTTATGATTGCCATGAGACTATTCAAATTAATTTTCATATTCAAGTATTCGTTTTATACAAAGCACAATTTTGAAGCAAAAAATAAAAATAAATAAACCACAATTTTTTTTGAAGAAGTGCAAATTGTATAGTCAAGTAGGTGAACTGCTGCTGGAGAAATTCCACGGAATAGAAAAATTGCAAGTAGCAATAACAAACCATCTCTTATTTATCAGCTATAAGTAACCACCAAATAACTCAAATCACATAAAGCACCCTAAGCAAAGCACAGGCAAATAATAACCACATACTCAAGTAATAACTACTTAAGAAGGAGCTTCCGATTGCTCCATGCAATATGATTGAATTAAATGTGCCCGAGTTTTAACAAATGTAGTGCCCAATATTATCTGCGACCAAGTTTGTTTGATTCCCCGTATCATATCAAACTAATGTTAGAAAATAGAAAACACATCCCTGGCTTAAGGGGGCATGCTCCAAACTATCTAAATTTATAAAATAAATGAAATAAACCAATTAATGAATTCAAGGTTTGATTCTTTTGCATGGAATGACATCCATATTTCCATAATTAATTTAATTATAGTTTTCTTATCTGGAATTAATATAATGCACGGGTAATTGTGCATCACGTCCATCATTGTATGGTTAGTGTAATATTAGTCCACTGATACTGCATTTTGTAAAACAGGAATTTAATATTTGATTTAAAATTTAAATTGATTATACATCCATTGTTAGGGTAGGAATTTGATCTGGACTTTCCTTAATTTGCTAAATACAAATTGGTGCAACAGATCAAGTCTTTTTTTTGTAATTTTTTGCGGTTGCATCCTGTCTAAACCTGTTTGTTCTGTTAGTTTTCTCTAGAAGCCTTGGTGAAATCACATACAAACATGTCATATTTTTGCAAATTTGTTATATTCAATTGAAACTGGTTGTAAACTTTATGGGATAAAGGTGTATTTCTGCCAAAAGTATTTGGTGAATTTTGCTTGTTATATTTAGCTGCTATAAAGTATAAACTATATAGTTAACTGCTTGATTTATATTCCTTTTCTCATATCAAATTCATTGTGTTTCCTTTTGTTTTTCTGCTTTGCAATTTCTTCAAAAGTTCCAGGGTGGAGTGTCTTACTTTTTTTGGCAAATCACTAATTGCAGAATATGATAACTGGTGCTGCACAAATGGATGGTGGAATTCTTGTTGTGTCTGCACCTGATGGACCAATGCCACAAACAAAGGAACACATCCTTCTTGCTCGGCAGGTAACAGCTATTTTAAAATTTACATATATTTACATACATACCACTAAATTCCTATTTATTTACATATCTAACACCTGAACTTTAGTTTTTATCTATATACCACTTTCCGTATGCATGAAAATATGTATTTCACCTTTTTAAAGTTTAAAAAATGATATTTTTGAAGTGATATGAAAGATTTGGTTTAAAAAAAGAAAAATGTAGGTGTTATATATGTATATACATAGGAATTTGGTGGTCTGCATGCAGATGCCCCTTTAATATTTTATTTTGGAATATTTACAAGCATACCACTCAGTTCTTATGTATTTACTACTCTAACACCTAAATTTCAATTTTTACAAATATATGTCACTTAACTTATGTATAAAAGGGAGTATTCCACTTTCTAAAAGTTTAAATAGTGGTATTTTTTATGTGATATGAAATATTTGTGTGACGTAAGTGTAAAAATCAAATTATAGGTGTTAGATATGTAAATACATAAGAATTGGGTGATATGTATTTAAATGCCCTTTTATTTTTGATATTCTTGTATCTTCAGACAAAATTTCAGTTGCTGAAGCCCATTTTGATTTAGCACCTTACAATTACTTCTATGCTATATAGGTGGGTGTACCATCACTCGTGTGCTTTCTAAATAAGGTTGATGCTGTTGATGATCCTGAGTTATTAGAGCTCGTTGAAATGGAGCTCCGTGGTAATTTGTTGTGGCATTTGGGTTCTTATATAAAAAAAAAGTGTGAATCCATAATTTTGATAAATATAAGTGCTCTTCTGTCATTGCTGTTAATTTTTTATTGCCAGAGTTGTTAAGCTTCTACAAGTTCCCCGGTGATGAAATTCCAATTATCAGGGGTTCTGCTCTCTCTGCACTACAGGGCACAAATGAGGAAATTGGAAAGCAAGCCATTCTAAAATTAATGGATGCGGTCGATGAGTACATACCCGATCCCATTCGTCAGCTTGATAAACCTTTTCTTATGCCCATTGAAGACGTTTTTTCAATTCAGGCATGTGTTTTATTTTTTTATCACATAATTCTTATATATTTATATATCTAACACTTAAACTTTGATATTTATGTATACCGCTCAAATTTTTAACATCACATCAAAAATACCACTGTTACTAACTTTTTAAAATTGAAATACACCTTTTCATGCATAAGTTTATAACTCCAAAGTGTTATAGATATAAATATCAAACTATAGGTGTTAGATATGTAAATACTTATAAATATATGCATGTAAACATTCCCATTTTTTTACTCTTTATATCCAATATTGTGCCTTCACTAAAATTTTGGTCTGTGATAGATGAATGTAGCTCATGGCTTGGTTGTTTAGGCAAATGATCAAAGAGGAACTGGAAATGTATTCTAGAAATCTCTTTCAACAGCACAAAAAATATCTATATTTTTATGCATCCAACCCTTGGATGGGAAATAAGTCACCAACATACATAGTCAATGCAACAGAAATGAGAATGTTAAGATATTTTTTTATACTGCAAAGGTTAATTCGAGATAATTGCATTGTAGTGACTATGAGAGCTTCATATATCGAGCATTTGGTTAAAGAAATTAATTTTAGATGGTTTAGGTGTAAATAACAAAATTTGAAATTGGATTTATTTATTTAGTTTTAATTTGATTTTTTCAACTATTTGCCAACCTTACATTGTCCCTCACGGATCTATAATGAAGACAATTAAGAAAAAATAAGGGGCATTTACATATTACATATCTAACACCTAAACTTCACTTTTTACATTTATACCACCCAAATCTTTTAATCACATAAAAATACCACTATTTCAACTTTTAAAAAAGTGCAATTCGCCTTCGAATTAGAACTTTTCATGGACAGATAAAGTGGCGTTTATGCAAAAATTGAAGTTTAGGCGTTAGATATGTAAATACATGAGAATTGAGTGGTATGTATGTAAGCCTTCCGACAAATAAATGCCACTAACGATAATTAATAAATGAATATTATAAAAATACATTCTTTTGTGACTCAAAAAAAAAAAAAAAGAAATGAAAAGAAAAGAAGAACAGAAGATGCATATTATGCATATTATGCATGTTAAATGTATTAATGAACAATCATGTGAGTAGGGACTGAAAGGATATAATATGGCGCTATTGCATCCGTATTTCTCGGTTTTATTTATTATTTTTAAAGGTGCTTGCAGGTTAATCTGTTTGTTATATATACAGGGGCGTGGAACTGTTGTAACTGGTCGTGTTGAGCAAGGAACAATAAAGACTGGAGAAGATGTTGAAATTTTGGGATTGATGCAAGTAAGTACTATCTTTGAGCATAAATTCCCGCTTTTTGTGAATTTCCTGTTCTGTTGCTTATATTGTGCTGTTTTCTTATTTAAATGTGGTAAAACCTCAACATTTGTTTACTTGATTTTGTGAAAATCCAAAGCTACACTTAATTTAAATTTTTAAAAGATAAGGTAAGCATCGATGACTACCAAAATGCATTATCTGTTAGATTAATTTATAGCATCAATATTTGAGTTGGTTTTTATTGAAAATGGCAACAAGTAGTGAGCTGTGATTCAATGAATTCATATTCTAAACCTTGTGTAAATTAGATTTTGCTTGAGCCAATCATCTTCATAATAGGCTTGTCTATCTTATTCTAAGGGGTTTTGTTCCAATTTGGGGTTTTCTTAAGAAAATTTTATTTTGGTCCTACAGTTTAGGGTGTTACTTCATGCAGGTCCATACTTTTTAAAAATAGTTTACCTAAGGCCCTATGGCATTTGAACTATTCATAGGTTCCCATTTGTCACACACCATTTTGACTTCCTTTTAATCAAGCATGAGATGTGATAAAGACAAAGAATCCAGTTGAGTAAAAAATTAATCTGCTTAGATCATTATAATGTATTTGCTAATATCAGGTATCTTTTAATACATCCATTATATTCATTAAAACAAAAGCTCATATAATTTAAACTATCAAAATGGACTATGAAGCTTCGAATAAACTTCATAGAAAGATTACATGTACCAGAAATAGTCTTAATTGACATTATGCACCTCTTTATTTTTAAAAATCTATCCAAAATTATGCATCAAAACTTAGAATACAGGATAAAACTGGGACAACTGCTGTTTGCTCATCTTGCTTGCCTGAATTAATAGCTAATATAATATTTGATGTGTTAGAAGCTCAGTAAGATAAACAATTCTAATATATTGTTCAAATCTAAAGAGAAAATTATTGCTTATCTTCTGAACTAACATGAACATTGTTGGTCATAGACATAATTAGCTTAGCGTTGAAATTTTAAATCAGAGTATGCTGTAATAATTGAATAAATAAATGACAAAATCATAATCAGCAAGCATAATTATTCGTAGGGGAATGCAATACAATCTTTGAGCACTAAAAGATGTAACGCTCTATGATAATCAATTTATGGTATTAAATTATTAATTTTATTTTTATTTTCGAAGTTATTTATATTGGTTATAATTTTAAAAGTATTATATGATGTATATATAGGCTACGACAAATTTATATCATTTAGTCATCTTTTAGCTCGTTGGTTATAATAAACACTGGTAGGGTTTGAATTTAATCCAACATGGAAATTATGATGGCCCCTTGATTCAAGATTAGATCGTATTGTACCAACTGATTATTGCAAGTCAGATACCTCTTTTGGGTCTCTATCGAGATTCATCTTATCATTTATCATAATTTTTGCCTATATTTGTATGGGTCATCTTTTTTTGCAGATCTCTTTCGTATAATATGATCTTTCATAGACTTCTCTTTTTAATATCATTTTCATAAGCATTTAAATTTTTTTAACATTGATAGGCATCTATTGTCAATCAATCTATATTAAAATGTATTCAAAAGTATAGCATGAAATGTACCAATCGACATGTTGGTACACTTAATTATGCATCTTATCTTTTAAATAAAAATATGAAAACTTCAATTTCACTAGAATACTCTGAAATTATTTTCAAGTTGATCATATAAAAATGCAGTTAACTTATATGAGCACAACACTCAATATCAAGAATTATATACTCGAATGCACATGATAGATCAATGGAGTTGTATGAATCAACAAACATTAGGCCTAAGTTTAATTTACTCCCTATATTAAGTATTGAGTATCTCGTCATAATTATAATATCACGTTTCTGTTAAATGCTACCACCATGTTTTAACTGTCAAGTTTATGTGTTTGGTATGTAAATACATAGAAATTGTGTGGTATGTATTTAAATTCCCCTAAAGTTTATCATCAATTCATCATGTGACTTGGATACCTTTTTATGTTTTCAATGTCACACATACTCTAGGTTGTGTTAATTATTTTGTTGATAATATACTTAGGTTCTGTGAGGTATTTTGTTCAAATCATTTTCTGAAGGTATATTTTAATAGCACTCAATTCTTATGTATTTACATATTTCTCTTTAAAATTTTCTTATTTAAACAATATCACATAAAAAATATCACTATTATCATTTTTTAAACGTGAAATATACATTTTTATGCATAGATTTAAAGCATGAATATGCTATGTATGTAAATATAAAAGTTTAGATTTGTGACATGTAAATACATAAGAATTGTGCTACTATGTAAATTTCCCTTTATTTTTTTTTGTTAAGCATCAAGTTTCTTTTCATTCTTTGGCCAAATGTGCTGCGGAGCTTTCCCTTTTTTGTATGGAATTGATAAAATCTTCTATCGCCAAGTGCATCCAGTTAATGCTGCTGCATTCCTCTTTGCTTTAAAATGGAAATTTTTGTTTTTGATATTCAAAATTTGATTATTAAATAATTTTTTGAGCATTTAGCAGTTTTTAACAGGCTGATATGAATTTTGTGACATAATGACGTGTCTGATTATTCAGTTGGACAGCTAGTCAGAAGCAAATTAATACCCGTGTCAGAAGTAGGGGTGTAAACGAGCCGAACACGAGCGATCCTAGGCTCAGCTCGTGTTCGGTTCGTTTATATTTTGAGCTAAAAAAGTGTGTTCCTGTTCGACTCGTTAAGACGAGTTGTTCACGAACAAAGAGTCATTTTGACAACCCGAATCACGTAGCGCCATAAGATGTGAAGGGTCGGGGCAAAATTTAAAAATTATTGTTTATATTAAAACATCATTTGAATCTAATTTAATAATTTTTATTATAGCTTCTTAATTAATATTTTTAATTGATTATAAATCTTTGTAGTCTTGTAGTAAATTAAATTTTTTAAAAATACTACTCATAAATATATATATATATATATTTGGAAGAAATATTACATCTGTACTATGTTTTTGGCTCGTTAACTTAGCGGCTCGTGTTGTTCTTGAACAACGAGCCGTTTTGACAGCCCTAGTCAGGAGTTTATATTATAGTTCAACGCTTTCGTCAATAGTTATTGTATGAAGCTTGAAATATTTGATTATGAAGTAACATGACAGCACTTGAATATTTCTCAAGAGCTTAGTTGGGATCACTTTTATTTTTGTTTTTGCTTTTATTTTTAAAATATATTTATTTAGTGCATTTTTTACATATTTTTATATTTTATATTAGAAAACAAATTAGCTTGTTTTTAAATGCACTTTAAAAATCTAATAATTGTTGACTGTTTTTGAAATTAAAATATGTCATAAAATATAGACATATTTTATTTTAAATAAAGCATAAACAAAATATAATAAATATAAAAAATCAAAAAATCAAAATCAAAAGTGATCTCAAAGAGTTTTTATAAGAATGTGATTTCTGGAGAGATATTCCTTTCTTATTTTGCTAGTTGACTACAATGTAACTATGAATGTGAATTGTTATTTGCATGCTTTGTCTAAAGCAGTTTTTATTTGACTAAAGTTTTGTACTTCTAACATGACAGGGCGGTCCTTTGAAAACTACCGTTACTGGCGTAGAGATGTTCAAGAAGATATTAGATTATGGACAGGTATGATTAGTTGGAAGATGTGCTATTTTTCTCTTGGAGATAAAATTTTTAGGAAGATTTACGTACATATTTTCTATTCCTATGGATTTACATATCTAACACATAAACTTCAATTTTTACGTACATATCATCTTATCTATGCATGAAAAGATGTAAAAGTAAAATGGTTTTTTTTAATGTGATTTGCAAGATTTGAGTGGTATATATATGTAAAAAATCAAAGTTATGTTATTAGATGTGTAAATGCTTAGGAATTGGGTGGTATGTATGTCAATGCTCCAAATTTTTGCTAAGTTTGAATTCTGTTTATATAGGCTGGTGATAACGTGGGCTTGCTTCTTCGTGGTTTGAAACGTGGGGATGTTCAGCGAGGACAGGTAAGATATTCATATTGTAGCGTAGATGGTATCTCATTCCTTTTCACATTTGTTAATAAAAAAGTGAGCCTGAATGCCCTATGGCTATATGTAGGACTAACAACGCAAATTTTAATCCCTTTTGTTTTCTGTTTTGCATTTTTTTGTTTTTATTTTATTTTATGTATATTTTGATTTGAATTAAAATATGTTTGATTAAGATAGTTGTTTTAAAAACACTTAAAATACTTTTGTGGTGGTTTTGAATATTTTTGAAAAGAAGTTGCTTTGTTTTAAAAATTAAAAAAAAAAAACTTATTAAAACTATACTAATCAAATATGTTTCAAAAAATAAAATAAAAATTACAAATAAAAATAGAAAATATAAAAAAGTGAGCCCGAATGCCCTATGTTTATATGGAGGACTAACAACGCAAGTTTTAATCCCTTTTGTTTTCTGTTTTGCATTTTTTGTTTTTATTTTATTTTATTTATATTTTGATTTGAATTAAAATATGTTTGATTAAGATAGTTGTTTTAAAAACACTTAAAATACTTTTGTGGTGGTTTTGAATATTTTTGAAAATAAGTTGCTTTGTTTTTAAAAATAAAAAATAAAAAATTATTAAAACTATACTAATCAAATATGTTTCAAAAAATAAAATAAAAATTACAAATAAAAATAGAAAATATAAATGGTGCCAAATGAGCCTAAATGGTATTTGTGATATCATGTCTCTTTGGAGCAACATTCTCTTTGCTTTGCTTTTCAAACTGCCGTTTCAACTCTATTTGGGAGTTGTTTTCTTGCTGTTTTTTAGAAATTTCTGTGGTGGAAAATTATTTTTTTCAACTTAACCATTTAAAATCAGGTGATTGTAAGAAGCTATTATTCTGAATTTTTAGATATATATATATATATATATATTTATAATTTGCACCGCATATTTCTAAGAAGATTTTTCTATCACAGCTTTGCATTCACTTTTGTTAAAATGTTGCAGCCAGCTAACAGCACTTATCAGCAAAAAAAAGAAAAAAGAAAAAAAAATCATGTTTTATTTTAGGGATAATTACATGCATGGCACTTGAAACATTGCATCCATCTCATTCAAAAAAATTGACATTTTTTTTGAATGACCAAACCAATGCCTTTATGCGTGTCATGATCTATTGGGAATTTGATTAAAATGAAAAATAGGGTTGGGTTTTAGCTTGAAATTTGATATTTGAAAGATGGACGAAAGAGGTTGCTAGTTTTGTAAATAGCAATGTCTTGAGTGCTATGTATATAATTTTACTGAGCTGAGGCTCTGATTCCATGTTGAAGTCAACGGAATCGTTGAGTTGTATTTGTTTTTTAATCATTGAACGATTTACATTCATACCACTCAATTCTTTTGCATTTACCTAACACCTATACTTCAATTTTTACATATATATCATCCTACCTATGCATGAAAATGTGCATCTCACCTTTAAAAATTTAAAATAATGATATTTTTTATGAGATGAAAGCTTTTGCTGGTATAAATGTAAAAATAAGCAAACTTTTGATATATAAATACATAAGAATTGGTTTGTATGTATGCAAATGCCCCCTTAAATCATTTTAGAATCATAGAATAGTGGTTTGGATGATATTCTGTGACACCATGCGTTATTTTCTTGTTCACCATAGGTAGTCTGTAAACCTGGTAGCGTGAAAACCTACAAGAGATTTGAGGCAGAGATTTATGTTTTGACGAAGGATGAGGGCGGTCGCCATACAGCTTTCTTCTCAAACTACAGACCTCAATTCTACTTCAGAACTGCTGATATTACTGGCAAGGTTGAATTACCTGAAAATGTTAAGATGGTGATGCCAGGTGATAATGTCACCGCCATTTTTGAATTGATTTCGCATGTTCCTCTTGAAGCAGGTAATGTGCACTTCTTACTCTCTCTATATTGAAAACTAAAGGGTCATTTGAAATTATTTTTATTTTTATTTTGCTTTATGTTTGATTGAAATATACTTATATTTAGAAGGTGTTTTTAAATGTTATAACATTTCCAATATTTCAAGTAAAAATATAAATAAAATAAATTTAAATTTAAAATTAACAATTAAAAATCACCTGATCCCACGGACCCTTAAAGGCTTTTTATGGATCACTTTGTTTTTTTGTTTTTTTTAATTTTTAAAAATACATTTACCTAGTGCATTTTTCGTGTGTTTTTTATTTTAAAAAATAGATTAACTTATTTTTTAAATACTCAAAATATTTAATAGGTCTTTTGAGTGTTTTTGAAATCAACCAAACAAGTAATAATATATTGAATTTATATTATTTCAAGTAAAAATATAAAATAAAAATCAAAAGTAATCTCAATTCGCCCTCAATAAACTGTTTGGGATCACTCATAATTTTAGTTTATTATTTTTTATTTTTATTTTGTTTTGTTTAAACTTTAATTTGAACAAAAAAAAATATTTAGCATGTTTGATTAACATATAGTTGTTTTGTAAAACATGTGAAAAGCCTAAAAATAATTTTGAGTGTTTTTAAAATATGTCAATTTCTTTTTAGCAATAAAAAAAAATAAAGGACGAAAAAACACTTAATATACTTCCTTTTCCTTTTTTTATACAGGGCAAAGATTCGCATTGCGCGAAGGAGGAAGGACCGTTGGCGCCGGAGTTGTATCCAAAGTCATCAGTTGATTATTCAAAAAATGTTTTGAACTTTCTTCTTTCATGATAATGCCTCACATTTTGCCATTTTTCATGGCCTGTTTTAATTTAAATTAGAGTGGGTTTCTTATCTGTAGGAACTTGCAAATTTTGATTTTTATTCTTTTTTTCCTCCTATTCCTTCTGAAAGGTTATATATATATATATATATATCTCATGAATAAAGACTTCACCAAAATTACCCTTTATTGTTGAGCTTGGGAATTGTGCAGACATGATAGCATTTATCATAATGGAAAAAATTCTGGGTGAGAATATTATGATTAAAATTTGATTATAATTAATTTTATGCTCTTTGATTTTGATTTGTTTTGAAATTAATTATAATCATTTTATAATAATTGATTTATTTTGAGTTGTTGAGTTTTAATTTGATTAGTTTTACATTATATCAATCTTAAAATAAATTTAATAATTATAAAGTTCTCTCAGAAATCTGCACCCCAGGTTTTGTTTTTTCTATTATGGTAGCATCTTGCCACAATTCTTATGCATTTACATATCTGACATCCAAAGTTTGTTATGTTTATACATGAGGTGTATTGGTATTTTTGATGCGATGTTAAAAATTTGAGTGTTATGTACGTAAAAAGGCATAATTATAAAGTTGGAATTTTTTTAATTTATTTTGTTACTTATAATAATAAAGTCACGAAGGCTTATTAAATTAATATTTTTATAAACTTTAAAAATTAAATGATCTTTTTGCAAAAATTCAGAGAATTATTTTTTACATTTAAATACCACAAATAAACAATAATTAACGCCAATTTGTGAATTATAATCAAATAATGGTATATTTAGTTTATAATAAATTTCATAGCGAAATAATATTATGACTTTCTTTTTCATTGAAATTGAAGTGTTGGTAGGATATTTATCTATTAGGTACACCAGCATTGCGACATAACATAACTTCAATGTTTCTCGTCCCTCTATATTAAATGCTTTGCATGACGCTTGTCCTCTTAAGGGTTAGTGTTCCCTTTTTGGGATAGAAGTTTTGCTTTCAATCATAAAACTTTATTATTTTCTTATTCTCTACATAATATGCTTTATCATAATGGTTAGCTAAGTCATACCAAATTAGGTAGTGAGTAGTTTTATTTTTCTCTCTCATGCAAGCAATGAATTAATTATAACAATAAACAAAATTCTGCTTGCTTAATTCATAATAAACATTTTTGCATTGAATTCGAGATTGTACATGAATTCACCCCCCAAAGATAAAGAGCGTAAATAAGAAGAGTTAGAAAGAGAGATAAATGAATAGTATTCAAAAGTGTTGATTCTTCATTCAATGCTTCCCATATTTATAGGGGATGTAATACAATAGCAATAATTTGATTTTAACCCTATTTGTAGAGGGTATATACCGGGGTATTTTGGGTATTTTGCAAGTGATGTCTTATCGTCTGGTTGCCTTTCGACCCAATTGACTAAGCTTAGTAGATTTGGCTTGGCTAGGTCAGCTTGATTATTGGAGTTTGGTTGGTATGGTTCGATCATTTGACCCATCCTTGTTGACGATTTAGAATCCCTTGTAAGAAGTATTTGGGCCTTCATTGGATGGTTAAGTATATTGATTCTTTCATTGGACCGCCTCCACAATGGGATAGGCTACTGCAACTATACGACTTTTCTGCAGTCGGCGATTCAGATGCTCTCTTGTCTCGTTTCCCATTGAGTGGCTTACATTTGGATTGCTTGGTCGTCCTTGTTTCCTTCTTTTGAGTTGATTTGTTTGGGACGTTGACTTGACTCGTATGGCTTGGCTCGTCCAGTTTGGTGAGTATGCCTCTAACATATTCTTCTCTTTTGGACTGTTAAATCCCTGTAGGAACAACGTAAATACCTTTTTAAGGCACGCTTTGAAATTAGTTTTATTTTTTATTTTTTTGACTAATTTAGACCTATATCCTAAATAATTTTGAAAGATAATTTTAGGTCAGAATACTGGGATTGAAATTTATTATTATCTATATTTATGTTAAAGAAAAATTAATTAGAAAAATAATATTTATTAAAATTGAATGGAGATTTAAAGAATCTCTCTCTCTCTCTCTCTCTCTCTCTCTATTCATTGTTTCATTATATTTCTACCCGCCACCATTATCTGGTTCAGATAAGGACTGGGAATGAGGGGACCTATGACCAGCACAGAGTTCTGCAAATTGAAATTATTCAAGGCTATTTTGTTTTCAGTAAATATTTTTGGGGGCGTGTACTTAAATACCACCCAATTCCTATATAATTACATATCTGACATTAAAATATTATTTAGCACCAAAATACTTCATTTCACATAAAAAATATCAGTGAGCTTTTTTCGTGGACAAGGGGGTATGTTCGTAAAAATTGAAGTATGACTATCAGATATGTAAATATGTAGGAATTGAGTGGTATTTATATAAATATTTCATAATTTTTTAATTAAATTATTACTTGTTCATCATATTTATCCTTATAATATTGCATGCAATTTGTAATTCATCTAATTTCTCTTTATTTTACTAAATTCCACAGATATTATATTCATTATGATGTAAATCTAAAAATAAATTTGATGGTGACTTCCAAATTATAATAATTACTATAAATCCCAATTTTCTGAAGGTAAAGTTTAAAATTAATTTTGTTAAAAAAAGTTTAATTTAAAAAAAGTCAGCATTTGAAGTAGATTGAATTATTTTCAAACGCTAAATAAATTTGAAGAAATTTAATTTATTATTTGTAGCTAAAATTAATATTATCAGATATTTGATCAGGCTGAAATTAGTTTATCTTGATTATTATTTAAATATAAATTAATTGGTGACCACAGTATGAAGAAGATTATTTATTTTATTTTTTATAAGACCACATATTCGAGCAATACATTTTATAATTAGCTGACTGTCATGGCCCATAAAAAAATTTATATTAAAGACAATTTACAAATTCACATCACATATCTAGCATGAATTTGTGTAATAAGATGAGATGATGTTGTGTAATAAGAAAGTTGATTCTATGTAGCTGTTGGAGCTAAATTGGGTAAATGAAAACTGAGTTTGATGAACGAATAAGACGTTTATTGCCAAAATAACTCTTATAATAAAGACAATTTACAAATTTTATTGTCAATAAATGGTCTTGAAAATGACCTATTCTTGTAAGTTTAGACTATCATGGCCCATAAAAAGTCAAATGATGATTATGGTAGAAAAAACGGGGCTCCTAGCCTTCTCTTGTTAATTTATATAAATTATAACACTCTGCCTTCACTTTGATGTGGATCTAATACTTCTTATATATATTGGCCTACTGGTAAAGTCATCAATCTCATATTTGATAGTTATCGTGCATTTCATGATCAAATCAGGAGGAAAAATATGATCTAAGAGGAAGTTGTTCCTCCATATCAAATATGTATTAAGATGATTTGAGTTATCTTATTCGCCAGTTTCAGTAGCATCCATCTTATTATTTTAACATTATTGCACAAAATTGAGTTAGCTAAAGACTTCTAGGGATGTTAGGGGAAAAAATTGTTCAATCTGAACTATAGTTGGAAAATTGATGTAAATGTCATTTTTATCTTAAAGTTTTAGTCAATAGATAATTTAACTCACTTTCGGGATAATTAGAAAATATGTCATTATTTGCTTAAAAGGCAAGTAGAGAAAGGCTATTTGGTCAACAAAGTTAAGAGAGAGATGTTACGTTTATATAAATCAATGTTGAATGTTACGATAGATGATTGACAACGACAGGAGTATTTTTCATACAGTATATTACAATATTAGGTGATACAAAATTCAAATCAATTATATTAAGAACTATTTTTCAGTAATTTTGACAATTTAGTAATTTTTGCAATTGATATTGTCACGTGGAGTTGAGCACAAATTAATGGAATCGAATAAATAAATATATTGTAGATATTGAGAGTTGACTTTATTTCTGATTATTCTGGTCTATTAGCCGGCCATTGGCCTCATCGACAGCAGCGAACCGGCCGCTTTAACTCTCCGGCCGAGCGAACCGGTCCACTTGACCCAGCCGGTTCCCAATAACAGCCCATGTAACCGGTCGTTGTCTCCGGCTGTGAAGTGTGAACTAAACAATGTCAATAAAAGTAGCCCTCCCGCTACTCGAAAGGCTACATAAACCGCTTCGTGAATATTTTCCTCTTCCGGCGGATTTTCTCCACTGCATACCACGTCGAAGTGACCCGGCTTTGAAACCTCGGATTGTGGATAATTTTTTAGCCACGTGGATGAGTGTGCGGGATGGGTTCGTCGTGGGTATCCATTTCCTTGTTTTAAAAGCGTGGGCCCTCTGCCCCCAGTATTGAATAAGAGGAATCGCGGGCAGAAATCGGGCAGAATTGCCGGTCTGCCCAAGATGCCCAAGATGCCCAAAATGCCAATCGGGCAGTCGGGCAGTGTTTCTAGGACCTATAAATAAAGGCGCAGTTTAGGTTACTTCAGTTTGCGAGTTTGTTTCCACTCTAATCTCATAAGGTTTTCTATTTCCCCTTTTTACCGCGGTTTTTCTATTTGAATCCTTTTCTTATCTTATAATTTATAAATTATTTAGAAATTGTTTTGTTTCGAACGAGATCAGAATCCATACTTTCGTATCCATGTTGTTTCGATTAATTTATTACGTACAATTTTCTTAGATTTATATCATTAATTTGTGTCTTTCTTTTTTTTTAAAATTTTGATCTGAGTTTCAGATGCCGTTGTTGTTGCAGATCTGAGAAGGAATCTCTATTAGCAAATCCTAAGATCGATCAATGGCAACTCGTCAGCCGTCGCCGCGAAGCTTGACGAGAACGTGTTCGTCGAAATCTACCAGCAGTGCGCAAGGCACAGAGGCGGCGCAGCTGCCTAAGTGCGTTTGCGCTCCGGCAACGCATGCCGGATCTTTCAAGTGTCGCCTTCATCGGGTAAACTCTCAGGGACATTCAGCGCCGGCAGCTCGTTTACCTCAGCAGCCGGCCGTTTCCGCTACTGCTACTAGAACCGTGGAGGCGTTGTAGAACAATATGAATAATATATAATTCGAACGCATTTTAAGATTAAGCAAAAGAACTTGTGATCAGAGTGATGGATCCAGTTTGATCGGGAGGAAAAAATTGTAATATCGCTGTTTTGGAAGTTTTAGGGTTGATTTGATTAACTATGGAATAAGTGTAATGGAGTGCTATGTTGTGTGACGGAGTGCTAGATTGATCATGAAATATGTGTGATGGAGTGATATGTTGTGTGATTAAGATTATGAGATGAAAGATATATCCTCTCACAACTTTAGTGAGATGGTTAATGCTATGAGGATAAATCGATCTATGATTCCGTTAATATTTAGAATTTAATTTGGATGCGACCTATGGGTTGTTTTTAATCTTTGAAGTTGGGAGGAGTGAATTGCACATTTGAATTAGAAATTAGAGCAGTTGAATCATGTTTTAATAGTTTTTAATCTCATCTGGTTGTTAAATTTTGGATGGAAGGAAGATATGAAATAGTGTCACTCACGATTCTCCGGTATTTTTCTCGTTACAGGTTGTTGTGTGATGATGTTCCCTTTGACACTGAAGGGTTTCATTTTCCTGTTCACAATTTCAGCTGAGAAGTTTCTATTATTTTCTTCATGCGCTGTAAGTCGTCTCCCTCTTTACTAATTTTTTATTCAAGTTCCGATTTACGCTTCTTTCCAGAAAGGGTGGGTGGATATGCTCAACGCTACTTTCTCTCTGTAACTTCATGACTATTTCAGCTGAGTTTTCTGATGGCTCAGACACAACCTAAGGAGAATGAAATAAGTTTTTAAAATTTCTTGCAAGAATTCTATCAAACAATAAATATACAGAATAATAATTATTGAGTCTGAAAAATAAGTGATAATAATAGCCTGATGAACTATATACGACTGGACCCGAGTCAGCCGGCGTTCACACCCTTAAGATTACACTTTCTGTGATTTTATTCTTTTCTCAGTCTCTAATATTTAGGGTGATCATGAATGTCTGTAGATTCATGGATCCATTAATAGTTCTTGTTTGCGACGTTATGTCTTTATATGATAGTTTTGAACATTGTCCAACATGCCTGTTGTTCTTGCTCTGATTTTTTTCTTCAATTAATATCATGACTGTCGGTCCAAACAATGGTTGTCAGATCTCTTTGAACATCAACGACTAATCCATATACAATCATGTTGTTAGTCTTTAACAAAATTTTGACATTCCCAATGATGTTCTGCTTTTGTTGGACACCGAGAAATTTAGGTAACAATTTAAAGGGAAGTGAATGTTATTGCATATCGCTTGCATAAAATCCATGCTCATGTGGGGCAATTCATCCAATGCATATTTAGTCAATGAATCCTCCAAAATATTGGAGAGAAATTTTGCATCCAAGGTGTTTTCATTGCAATTTGCCACTATGCGAACTTATTTTAATCTTCAAAGTTCAGCTTACAATCTCTCATAATATAATTTCTCTATATTTCCCTTAAGTCTACATCCATTGTGCTTTCAATCCTACCAACTTTTATAATTCTCTCTCATTTTCTAAATCACCCTCATATATATTCAATAACATGGATGAAACTTTTTGACATTAATCGGTTGGCATTCAACTGCCCAACTTCGATGACAATGATAATGAGATGATTCCTGCCTCAAAAAATTAGTTAAGTTTTGTAGTTTTTCTTGTTCTATTTTATTGTTTTTTTTATTTATTATATCACTTTTTCATCCACATTACTTTTTGACGAGGTAATGGAGGAAAAGAGAAATAAAAAATAAAGAATAGTAAAATGTAATTGTTGTTGTAGTAAACGCCTCTAACAAAGTATAGAGTGAATGCTTTTTCACTATGTTTTCATCTATATTTAGTTTAATCCAATCAATAAACTTTATTTTTATCTTATAGAAGCAAGTCATTCTTTATAAAATTTATGCATGCCTCTTGAAAAATTCTTTTTGAGGTTTACTTGCAATATCCGGGGGATGAGTTGGGTGCATTCTCCCAAGGCTTTGAAGATTATGAGAATTTTAGAAAATGGTTATACAAAGAACGAAAGGTAGGGATTTAGTGGCATAAAATATCCAATTGTCAAGTGTAGTCAAGTGATTCCCTGGTGGTGATAAAAACTTGATGGCTCAAGGAACAAATTTTATTTATGCACACAAAAATTATGCCCACACAAATCTCGAGGAGATCCAATGATCTTGGAGACCAAAGGAATATCAATGTGTGGATTTATTGGCAGAAGACTTGGGGGACCCATACGCCCAACCAGATGAACCAAATTCAAAGTTAGCTGATATAAAGATGAATATGTGACACGAGTTGAGTGGCTCACTCAGTTATAAAGATGAGTATTGGGCCCATACATCGGACCATATGAACCAAACTCAAAGTCAGCTGTTATAAAGACGAGTATGTGACTAGATTCGAGCGGCTCACCCAGTTACAAGATAAATGATCTCCTAAATCTAACATTTTGATGCAATCAATTCCGAAGAAGGGACCAATCTCTCATATCTTATGGCTACATTGGCAACGTCCACCAGCTTTCTCCCAAGATCCCTTCGTGTAAGGGCAAGCTACTTGTTGGATTACTATGATTCACCCTGTGCCTGACAATATATTTTCTTTTACCAACGGGAGTTCTTCGTTGAAGAATCAAGAGCCGACAACCATTATGTCAATTGATGAGTCGATCAGCTCTATCAACTCCTAGCCAGTAGAAGACAGGTCAAATGGTAACGTCTACAGATCTAGCCTTTGGCAACATAAACCAATTCACTTGCTCCCCAACTGTGCACCTGTCAAGACTTCAATTGCACAAGCGAATGATAACACCTACCAGATCCAGTCAATCGACAAAGCTTGACGATGTCCTATGAAGCCCAGCCTGTCGAGCAACAATACTTTGGGCTGAGTGAAATATCAAGAATAACATGTACAATTTCCACTTAAGTAGGAGCATAAATGTAACTTCAACTATTATAGCCCATTTGTCGATAAATAGGGGATCGTTTTATAAAAGTATTATGACTTTTATTTTTACTACATGGACACACAAAACTTAAAATTTCTGCTTTAGTGAGTAATAATTGAGTTGAAATATATTAGTTTGAATTCTAGCATGACTCTCCTAAGTGATTTTATTATTACATCATATTCTTGCATATGGAATGACTTGGTCTTTTGAACATAGTTTTATTTGGGTGTATTTAACTTATTATTCTGGGAAAAATCCATGCCAAACTTATTTTTTTCCTTTTTTCTTTTTTTTGGAAATTTACATAGTTACCATACAATTCTTATTTATTTACATGTCTAAAATAAAAAAATTTTAATATTTACACTCATGATATCTTGATGTCATAAACCTATGCATAACAATATGTATCTCCCAAGGATGTAAACGAGTCGAGTTGAACCCTGAGCTTGAATTTGAGCTTTATAGTGTTTGAGCTCGAGCTAGAGCTTAAGCTTACAAGTTCTAGCCAACTCTCTCTCTCTTTCTTGTTTATTATAAAAAAAGAGAAAATAATATTAATTTAAAGTGGTGATATTAAGTTAAAGTAGTGTTATAATGAAATGACAAATATGAGCGATTAAGAGAGAGATAATAAATTTTTTTATATAAAATAAAAATATTATTTTTAAATATTATTTAATTATTTAATTATAAAATTATCAAATTTGATCTATATTGTGTATATGTTATATATATATATTTTTTAAGCTAGCCAGCTCATCCAGCTCAGATTTACAGAGAATTTGATTGTGATTTTTTTTATGTGATGTTCTTGATTTGAGTGGTATGCATTTTAATTTGTTTAGGTGTTTGATATGTAAATACATAAGAATTGTGGTATGTATGTAAATGCCCCCTCTTTTTTATTATTTATTTTTTAGCACCTTGTGATTGAAAATTTAATTAGTTTAGTTGATATTGAGAATTTATTCATTTTTTTAAGATATGATTACTTATGATGGATAAAGCTAATGTCTGTATGTTCATAACTAAAACCCGAGTTGAGATATTTTTCCTATTTTTGATGTCTGCATTACTTTTAAGACCGCGCTTGTACTTCTGCATTTGGCTATGACCTTTCCATGATGTTTTAGAAAGTCTTAAAATGAGAAGTTTTTTTACAATCAGATTTGTATAGTGTGTTGGCTCTGAAGTTGTTTTCCGACATTTTTAAATGTTGGAAGGTGGATATGATGAATTCATTCATTATATGAATTTGATACCATAGACCTCGAAAGCATACTAATAAAAACAAAAACAGGCAAAATTCAGTGTCGTTGATAATTCTTGTTTTATTATTCTGACATGAGAACTCGATTTAGCATTCACACTCACGCCACGCAATCCCCATGTATTTAACACCTAATAAATTGAAGTTTAGGTTTAAATGCATTGGAATTGACTGGTATATATCTGAATTAAATTTAAAGATGTACCCATCATATATAAGGTTATCATAAGGTGATACTTAAATTTGATTTAGCTTGTTTGAGTACTACAGACAGCTCTCCTAGTTTTCATTTTGCAGCTTTCATTTCTCACCAATCTCTATCTGAAGGAAACAAAATCAAAATTGCATACCCTAAATCCAAACTGTATGAGAGAAAAGGTATATTTTATGTTTTAAAATTTAAAATTAGAAAGATTTTTTTTCATAATATTAACTTCTTACATAAATATATAAAATAGGTCTGCCATCGGGTTGATTCAACTAATTTACAGGTCAAATTTAATTTTTTGGGTCGGATAGTCAAATTATTCGACCCATTTAATACCTGCGGGGCAAGTGTTATATTATATATATATCAATTTCAGTGTAACCCCAAACTTCTCTATTGCCCTACAAAAATTGACAGTCTTCAAAGAACCGCAGCATTATAAAACATTATTTGATTGCAGTTATATAACCAGAAATATAAAAAAAAAACATAATTAAAAATCAAAATCACATGGAAGCTGCTGTTCATAGAATGGCTACAAATAACGGTTAATCAAAAAACAGCAGCAGTTCATACATATATATATATCAGGGGTACAAAGGCTGAGAGAATATATAAGTGTTTAACGAAAGGCCTTTTAACTCTTACGCAGCAGCTGTTGTTTGGTTCTCACTAGCTGCTTCGAATGTCTCTCCAACAAGCTCCGGAACATCCTCGTCGTCGTCTTCTTCTAGGATGACGCCGCCAACTTCAGTAGTGGCGCCACGTGGATGTTTCTGGAACTGCTCTGCAAGCTTCTTGATGTTTTCCAAATTATCAGGCCCTGCAATATTTTTTTTTAAAATTAAGTTTATAGGGACTATTTAAATTTTTATTTTCTAAAACTAATATTTTTTTAGAGAAAATTACATACGTAGCACCCAATTCTTATGGATATCTATCTCACACAAACTTTCATTTTCACACATAGCACTTTGCATATACATGAAAAGATGAATTTAATTATTAAAATATGATAATAAATACTATTTTAAAATGATATTTGTAATTATAAAAGTTCAAGTTTGAGATAAATAAATATGAAAATTTTACGTGCTAAGAATGTAAAATCCCATTTTTTTAATAATTTATTGTGAAATTTACAAAATCACACATTTTTTATGAATTTACATATCATAATCAACTCATACAGGGTTGTAAATGATTCAATGCACTTGATGAATAACTCAAATTCTAGGATGATTGGTAATCTAACTTTGTTCAAATCAATAAATTAATAAGTTTAATTATATTTTTAAACCCCAACTATTAAATGAATTAAATTTAAACATAATTCAACTAGTTTATTAATGTTCATGAAAAATTCATTTATTTCCCAAACAATAATTTAATAAATTTTCTATTATTATTTAAATAAAAAAGATTAATAAGAGTATATTAATCATAAAACAAGTAATATAATTAATAATAACATATTTAAATTTTTCGACATTTACATATACAACACAATTTGTATGTACTTCCATATATAACACTTAAAATTTAATATTTAGATTCATAACACCCAAATCTTAACATCAAATAAAAACATCAAATTTAACCATTTTTGTAAATGTCCGATAAACCTTTTTGTATTTTTATATATTTTTATGCAATGGTTTGTAACCCAATTCGTTATAATGTAAATAACAAACTTTAGGTGTCAAATAATTGTGGTGTGCATGTAAATTTTCCAATAATATAATAACAATATGCATATAAAATTATTACATTTTTTTCATTTAAATAATTTATCAGTACTTATAATATAATTTGGTTACAAAAATTTACTTATAATTTATATATTATTTTATTTATTTGATATAAATTAATTCTACGTTAATTTTATATTAATTCTATTATTTATTTAAATTTATAAAATTATTTGTTAAGAACTTTAAATTTGTTAAGGACTTCAAATAAAAATTCAAATATATGAACATATATTAGAAAGTCTTAAAAATATATATATATATATGAAAGCTCAATTCAAGCTCAAATTGAACAACAATAACCTGAGAGTTATGAATAAAAATAATAGGTTTCACATATTAGATAAAAACGCCCCTAAATAAAAATAATAGGTATCATATGTAAATACCTAAGAATCGTAGAGTATGTAAATGCCCCTAAATATTTTTAAAAACAATTAAAAAGTAATCTGTATTTAGAATACTAAATATATCTCATTTTATGCATCAAAAGATAAAGAAAGCAGACAGTAAAAACAAGTAATCCGAAATGATAAATTGATTGAAGTATAAAAGCTCAACAAAACAAGTTCAAGATTGGATATCATAACACAAATTTACATTCGAGAATATATTTATTTATATAATTAATAATAACATATTATAATTTTTAGGCATTTAGATATATAAACCACACAATTCTTATCCCATATCTAACACCAAAAATTTAATATTAACATTCATAAAACTCAAATCTTAATATGACATCAAAAATACCAAACTTACCAATTCTTAAAAGTAATATGCACCTTTTTATACATAGAATTATAACACATTCATTAAAAATTAAGTCCAAATTAAAATTTTAATTATATTTTAAAAATTAAAAACTCATTCAATTTTTTAGCTTATTAACTAATAAAGAGGGCATTTACATGCATATCACACGATTCTTAAATATTGAAGTCATTAAAAAAATTCAAGCAAACCAAATATGAACAATCGTATGAATCTCAAATCAAGCTCAAATTAAACATGAATTATTTGTGTTTTGACCAATTTAAGACCAACCGATGACATACATGACTCAACTTGACTTTTAAAAGTTAGCAAAATGTTAAGGATTTGGTTATGAATGTAACTATCAGGTTTAGATGTTAGATAAATAAATACATAAGAATTATGTTGTATGTAAATGCCTCTAATTTTTTTTTTAAAACACTTGAAAGTAATTTGTATATAAAAAATAAAATTAATATATATTTAAGATAAAAAAATATATATTTCATGTTTTATATTAAAACATAAATAAAACAAAGAGTAAAAACATAAAGTGATCCCAAATGACAAATTGATTGAAGTACAAAAGCAAGTAAAGGATGAGAAACATACCTAACTGGTTGAGGATTGATGGTAGCAAATCTTGTAGTTCTGTTGAAGAAGATAACAAATATTTAAGTACCGTTCTTAATTTCAATGAATCAAATTATTGCCAACATCTTCATTTCATTGCGGAACAATTGGAAAAAAAAAAAAAATCAAATAGCAATTTTATTAAGAATGGATGAAAGTTAGGTTACTCTTTGTCTGTGAGGATCCGCTAATAACCCATGTATTGGCTGCGATGGAAGCTTGCACTGCAATAGAGAAGAAAGTAATGTCACAAATGAAACTCTAACTCATGTTGACAAAATGTGAGAAAACAAAATAGGAAGATTTACATACGTAGCACTTAATTCCTGTGTATTCACATATCTAGCACGTAAATGTTAATATCTACCTATATGATATATGCCACCTTCCCTATGTATGAAAATGTGCATCATTTTTAAGAATTAAAAAAATGATACTTTAGACATGATATGAAAGATTTAGATGACATAAATATAAAAAGGGGCATTGACAGACTCAAGTCTCGTGTATTAAAATATCTAACACCTACCTTTGCTTTATAAATTTATACCACCCAAATCTTTTATATCACATCTAAAATATCACTTTTAATTTTTAAAAAGTGAAATAAACCTTTTCATACACAGGTGAGATGTCATATAGATAAAAATTGAAGATTAGGTGTTATATGTAAACACATAAGAATTGAGTGCTATAGATGTAAATCTTTCACATAAAAAAATAAAGTTTAGGTGCTAGATATGTAAATACATGGGAAATGACTGGTATCTGTGCAAAAGCACCAGTTATATTTGATAAGAGTTCTGGATATATATATATATATTTTACCTTTAGGGCTCTGAAACTGAATCACCGTATCATCTTTAAATATGTTGACTTCTTCAATTGAAGGAATGACATTCACCCCTATCCTCTTCAGCGTGCTCTGAAGCCTCTTATCATCAGTCGTCGTTGTCTTGTGAACGGCCTTCTTCTTCCTGGTAGAGGCGTCAGTGAATAATATTAGGCCCGGCAAAATGACTAAATAATTAATTTTTCTTGTTCAAAAGAAATCTATAGGCAACTTAGTTTCTAAATAGTGTAAATGTCACTGTAGCATTCATCAAAAAAGTAATTTACTATGTATTTCACTTTTTTAAAATTAAATTGGTGTATTTCTTATGTGATATGAGAAATTTTAGGTGGTATAGATGTAAAAAAGTAAAGTTTAGATGTTAGAAATGTAAATACATAGGAATCGAGTGTCATGAGCATGCTCTCATGTATTCAAGTATTTCTCTCCAAATTCTTCAATATTAAAATCAATAAAGAAAACTAATTTTAGCTGTTAAATCCGAAAATACAAAAGGCTTTGTACTTATTATATAATACTTTTGTGTCAAAACACACCCAAATATACGTATGAAAAATATATATTTCACTTCAAAAAAAATAAAAGTTGCTCATATTTTTATGTAATGTTAAAATACGAGTATAAGTGATGCATATTAAAATTTAGATATTAGATATCTGATTGGATAAGAATTAAATTTTATGTACGTAAATCCCTCAAAAAAACAGTTGAAAAAAGTACTTCTAGATCAGCTTTAAAACCAAGAAAAAAGAGGGGTTTACATACATACTAAATAATTGTTATGTAATTACATATCTAACATCTAAACTTTAATATTTGCTTATATAACACTATGTAAATATATAAGAATTATATTTTATGTACATAAATCCCTTAAAAAAATAGTTAAAAAAAGCACTTCTATATCAAGTATAAAACCAAGAAAAAAGAGGGGTCTAGATACATATCAAATAATTGTTATGTAATTATATATCTAACATCTAAACTTTAATTTAATATTTGCTTACATAACACTTAAAATCTTCAACATCACATCCAAAATGCAGCTAATATTATTGTTTCTAAACTAAAACACACTTTTGCATGCAAATGATTTGGTATGATTATGATAATAAAGTACTATATAAGTAAATATCACAAATTAAGTGTTCGAAATGTAAATAAATAAGAACTTAAACTGCTTTTTCTCAGCATTTGATGCAGTATGCCTGATGAACTAAAGCAAGAATCAGACTAACGGTCATATATATGCAATGACTTGACTCTCTTTAGATTTAAATCATGATGCACCATCATAATCAATATAACTGTAATTAAAGTCTGTTTAGCTCCGCTGAAACTAAATTATGTTATGCATTTACATATCTAACACAAAGTTTAACATTTACATGAAAACTATTCAATTTTTAACATTGCATCAACAATATCACCGCTATTAACTTCTTAAAAGTGAAACATATTGTTTCATGCATAGGTTTATTACCAAATTGTTATAATTGTGAATACCAAAGCTTAGGTGCTAGATGTGTAAATGCATACAACTTGTGTGGCATGTGTGTAAATTGCGCAATTAATTATAGAATTACGGTAAGAAAAATAGAAATTTTAAACCTACTTCTCCCTAGAGACAAAATAGCATTTTCTTGAAGTAGCCGCAATAATAAAATTAATTGTGAAAAATTACTCCCAACCACAGTTTTGAAAAATGATTAACTTGTAGTCAAATAAAAACTGGGCAAAAATCAATAAAACAGAAGGCTTTTACAGGTTTTTATAAAATTAGTTGTGGGCAAAAGAAGAATTTTTAAAAGCATTATGTATTATAATTTTTTCCTCTGAAAAAAAAAACACATTTTATAAAATTATACCAGATCTAATTATGAAAAGAGCTTTAAAATAAAAATTTTAAAAACTAGTAAGAGAATCATTGCAAAATAAAAATATAATAGCGTTCAGTTAAAAAAATAAATAAATTGAATAGACCGTCCGTCCAAACTGCACTATTGTCTCTACATTTCCTAAAAATCTTAATTACGTGCACGTATGTTATGACATTTTGGTTCCTCGCGCTAACAGAGTATTAAACGTACCGCATAATGCTTCTAATAAAAATGGTAAATAAGCAGCAAGCAAAAATACATATTAAAAAAAGGACATTAACATGTGCATTCACCTAATTCCTATTTATGTATATACCTGACATAAAAAAATTTACTATCATATAATTCCTATGTATTTAAAAATCAAACATCTAAATTTTATTTTTTAGTTTTTACATTTATAAAATAAAAATCTTTTATATCACATAAAAAAATATCATTATTTTAAAATTTAAAAAGTGACATATATATAAAAAAGAAAGTATAGGTGCTATATATGTAAATACATAGGAATTGAGTGGTTTGTATGTAAATTTTCCAAAAACAAAAATTATTATAACAATTGGGAGAGCTTCTTGATGCAACATATCAAGTTACCTACCAACCAAACTCCTTTTAAGGACAAAAATAAAATAATTACGCAAGTTTAGCATGCATTTCATATAATTCCTTATTTAAATATCTAACTCTTAAAATAAGTATTAGTGACACTAAAATATTACAGAAATAAATATAAAAATTCAGTCAATGGATGATCTTGGACAAAAAAATATATAAGAGCTATGAGGCATGCGTGCAAAATCTCCCAATAATTAAGAGAACCAAAGATGAAGATCAACTATGCTTGGAATCTTTTAATACATCCATATCATTCCCACCTTAGCAGAATTCTTCCAGGCAAGGATATTTGTTAAAAAGCACAATAGATATTCAGTCAATTATTATTCTTCGTTCAAACTTAAAGCAAATCAATTAGTTCAAACCAAATAGTTCCAAAACTCATCTGATTAAATTTGAAAAAAAAAAGCCATATTTCTCCAACACCTAGAGTGCGTACTTATAATTTAAGCTAAAAAAGAAATAATAATAAAAAAAAAAAACAGGTTCTATATGACCTGATATTCCGCATGCAAAGCAATTAGCAATAAATAACTGCAAAAATTATTAAAACTTCAAAAAGGATTTAAAATATGATAACAAAGTAACAAACTAATGGCACAAAAATTTATAGGGCCATCCATGCCACAATCCTTAATTATTTACAAATATCTAGCATATGAACCTTTATATATACAAGATAACACTTAAATCTTTATTCTTATATGGAAAAATATTACTAAAAAAGTGAAATACAACTTTTTCATGCATTGATTTAAATCATTAAAATATTAAAAGGATTTATTATTTAAATTTGGGGTTTTGATATATAATAAAAAAAAAATTGTGTGGTCAATATGTTAATTTTCCAAATTTCTAATAAGCAATAAGATTAAGAAGAAGAAGAAGGGAACAAACCTGCGCATACTTCCCTTTCCACCAGTGCGGACAGCACCCGCCATCTTTTGGAGCCTCTCAACATTCATCTGTAGAGAAGTATCCAAGGTATTAATAAATAGCAGATAGCTTGCGATAAAAGTAAAACTGCAAAACAAAAACTGCAGATTGACAAAGGTGTAATGCAAAAAAGATGAGCAATAAAATTTTGCAGAAGGCTGCATATAATGGAGGAGATTATAAAAATGATACACATTGAACTTCCCAGTCCAATAAAACCAATGATGGTTGATTATTGGTTGCTTAGGATTCTAAAAGAATGTTAATATTTAAGCTGTGTAAAATCAGTACAGTGAGATAAAATAATAATAATAAAAAAATCTTGTTAAAATTAAACTAAAAATAAAGATCAAGATGTGAGAATGATGGATATATGTGAACGATATTGAAATGCTTGAAGTTGTTTGTCTATTTTTTATGAGATAATTATAGAATTTTTTTTTTCCTTTATAAAGATAAAAGTGTTATTGAAGAACACATGAATGCTAGTGCTAATGATGATCATAATATTGACCGAATTATCCACACTTAATTATGCATCATTAATATGTTCATCAAATCTATACGTGATTGGGAGTGGATAACCTGCATTTGCATAAGAATAACTAGATTTTTTTATCACTCGCTCCTAAAAGTAAACTGAGCCTTACATATTCCTTGGACAATTATTCAAAACTTCTAGCTTTGCTGAAGCGGAAGTCCGGGTGGTAACGAGATTCTTATGCTAGAAGTGGAAGTGTATCGCCTCCAAACCTCCTCTCTCTATCCCTGATATGAAAAATAAAGTAAACCCGAGCCTTCTGGAAGCCTTTACTTGCCCTTCCTATATGGTGAATTTTTATAATTCATATGATGATGAACTCCTATAGAGAATGTTTGGTGAAAATTTTGTCTAACACTAGGTGCCCTTAGAGTTTTTGAATCACATACCCTGTTGGGAACTTTAGATAAATTTTCAAATTAACTTTATGTTACAAAAGTGCAAATATTAGGAACAACCACTCTGCCATTTCAACATTGCTATAGGCAACATGGGATAGCCTTGATATGTTAACAAATATTAGAAGAATGGAGTTGCAGGGCTACAATGGAGACTAGGGTATTAAAGTGAATATCCTTTTGGTATTGCATCGATGGTTGCCACTATTAATAAGCTGAGACTCATGAAGGTATCATGCCTACTTTTATGATAATACCAAGAAGATCTATCACTCTCAATGGAAAGGTGAGCATAGGAAGACTGACTGATGATAAACATCTGAATAGTGAGTAGTGAGATCCCAGTCGCAATTATTGATTGATGTAGGTGGCAAAATTCCCCACTAAAAGCATTTAAATGTTATCTGCTAGAATATTTGGAGCAATAGAGAAAAATTTGTCTTAATGTTGCACAAAAAATCTTGCATGCACAAATAAATTGAGAGCAACGCGTACTTGACACAAATTAATTTAAATAAAAAACCTGGGAAGAGAAGAAAATCACATGGCATGGCATAATTTAAAAATTCTATCAATAAGAGTTAACGATTACAAATGGTGTCCTCCTCATAACTAGATGAAGAGTTAATACAAAATTTCAAATGACGTCTCCTAGTAGTGATAGGAGGAACGTAGAGAATTTAAAATTATCAATCAATCGACATAATGATGATATATTTTGAATGTCAGTCTCGTTAATATCAGAAAACCATTAGTAAGGGACATGAAAAGTTGGGCGAAACTGGTGAATAAGAAAGAAAATGGATGCTAAGAATTTAACAGTTGATCCAAGCTATTTGCTTAGCAGCCACTGTAATTGAGAACGATGCCAATTTACATAGAGTTAAGAAAATATTCGAACAATATAGATGAACATGGCTCAGCATACAGTACAAATTCGCAAACCACAAAAAAACAGAAGCCAATTAACTCAGAGCTTCCAAATGCAAATACTCCCATCACATCATCAATTCTATATTGAATACCTAGAACTAATCACACAAAACCAGCAACCGTGCAGAACCAATCCCCCATATTCCAAGAGAAATTAATCATCCAGATGAAAATAATAAAACCCTGCAATTACCATTCTTATTCAAAAAGAGCCCATATATTTCTCATAACCGATCACTATCCCGCCGCAAAAGACAACATAATCACCAAGAAACAAATCTCAGAGATCCGAACAAAAAAGTGAAGCACAATCCATATATCTCAAATAAGCGCAGCAGCTATGGAAATGCAATCAAATCTTACGAATAGAAGAATGCATGATGAAGCTTTAAAATCGAATCAAATCGATCTAAGCAGGATCGATTCAATTCCTTAGATCATTCGATTCCAGTTACTAATGATTTATAAGCTTCAATCAAAATATCAGTGAAAAAAACATCGAAACGAGAAGATCTGACCTCTAATGATGAGTTCGGGGCACGTCGAGTGAAATTGCGCGACGGGGCCTCGGCGCCTCAAGGGTTTCGACTAGCGCAGGTTCAGGGTGAAGAACTATATATATGGCTGTCGCCCTCTCCAGGGCTTAAGCCGAACCGTGGACTAAATGCCGGTCCGTTGAGCCGCTGGAACCGGCTTGACGGACTGCCTACTGGCAAACCGTTTTTTCTTCTTTAAGAGAAGTAGAATTTCTATACTCCTATTTTTTTTTTTTTGAATATATATATATATATATATTGTGGTTTTATGTAGTAAAGTGTAAAAATAATCTCCCACTATTTACATGGGATGATTTTAGTGGCATAGTTTTATAAAAGTCTTAAAATAATCCTCGGTTATTTTAATGTTGAGCTTTAATAATTCTATATGGGGATAATTTCAGTGCTAATTTAAAGAGTCTGAAAATTCTTTTGGCACTTTACTCTTATATTATCTTAATGCATAAAATGAGACATTTGTCTTGATCTCGCATGCACATAAAAAATGTAGAAATCCCCTAGCATAAAACAAAAAAAATGAGAAATTCTTGATGAGAGCTTCTTGTTTGGCTAAGAGATTCGATGGAAGCTCGACAGAAAAAACAATGATGATAAGGAAGTCATGAAAGGTGTTCTAAAAACGTCACAAGAGAAGCTTATTGGAAAAGAAAATTACAATGCCAACATGAATAAAGAAGAAGAGGAGCTTATAAGACTTGAGGGTATACATTATTTATTCCAAGCTGAAGAAGATAACTGAATCAAACAAATATGGTTGATTATGTTTAATTTCATGAATTTATTTATTTATTTGTTTAGGGTTTAAAATCTCAATATTTGATTTTAGCTCATTGTTTATTTTATTCGAACAAATAAAAAACCCTAAACTTTAAAATTAAATGGAGGATTAATGAAATTAATTCCAAATTATACATATAAGATGTGTAATTCTTAATATTTATTCATAATTGAACTTCAACTATCAACTAATTTTTTGTTTGTTCATAATTAAATTATTTAAATTGAATTAAATTGTGATACGTCGGTCTGATTTTATCAAAATTTAGATTCAAAATTCAAATTTCAGCTCTTATATGTTTGACCAATTTGAAAATCAGTTCATCCAAGCCGTCTCAATGCTTGTCCCTATTTGAGAATGAAAGCTTTATATTCTCCTCATTTTCCTCTGCACATGGTCATCGGCCCTTCGAGGTTATGATACATGAAGGTAAAATCTAAGGTTTTTGTTTCTAGTTTGCATTATCTATTAACTTTACAAGATACTTCATTAACATATAGCTCGTTGCTCTTTCTATTTGGAAAATTCTATTTTATACGCCACTTAGTATATAAAATTGGAGAAAATAATTATTTTGTTAGAAAAATATCCCTAAACATTCATTTTGAACAAGAATCTCTCAATGATGGATAAACTCTTATGTTCATGAACTATTCAATAAAATAAGATATTCAATCTAATAATTCGAATCCCGGTTATAACTTTATTGAAATCCAAGGCTCGTTTGAAGGAGCTTTGTCATTCATCGCAACTCTTTAAAAGTCACGTCCATGAAATGAACATTGTCATATGCGATCTAAAATGACAAAAAATTATCGTTCTGTAGAAGCAATTTCGGGAAACGCTGTTTTATCAAACAAAATCAAATCTATATGTCGGAACAACGCCTTGTCATATGAGGCTCTAATTTGAATCTTAACTCAAAGCCAAGCCAGCATTTCAAATCGATATTGAACAGAAGTCATGATCATGTTCAAATTCATACTATTTTGATTCAGTTTTGTTTGTGGTGGGCTTCAACAAGCGGTATGTATTTCAAATATTAGGGCAATTATATACATTCTACTTATTTCATAAATGTTTACATGTCTAACACCTAATTTTTCATATTTACATACATAACACTCAAACCTTTCACATAATATTAATAAAAAAATTAAAAAAAATTAAAAAAAAACACATCACTTAGATTTTTAATGTGAAATACACCCTTTTATTCAGAAAAATTTAATACCAAAGTTATATAAATATAAATATAAATATAAAAGTTTAAATAGTAGATATGTAAATACATAAGAATTGCGTTTGGTATGTATTTAGTTATATAAATATAAATGTAAATATAAAAGTTTAAATAGTAGATATGTAAATACATAAGAATTGTGTGTGGGGTATGTATGCAGATTTTCCTAAAATTTAAACTCTCAAATTTATGCATCGAATCTAATTTATAACATAATTATAGAATGGTATGAAATAATTTCTTAAAATATGCCTCCGTAAAATGAATGCTACGCACATTGATTAATTTATAATTTAAAGGATAAGAACTTAATTCTGACAAAAATTTGGGCAAATTATAATTTTATATTATAGGTATATTTTAGCAATGATAATACATATCCTCTATAATAAATTAATAATGGAAAGTGTTAGGATTTTTAAATTTATAAAATTCAACTTCATGACCCAAAATTTATAAAATTAAATGACTAAGATCCTAAGATCTTTGAATTTATGATTTGAATTTATGATTTTCACATACCCATAAATGAGATATACGTACTTATATTCATGATCGCAGAATTCAATTTAAAGAGATATAATTTCTCTCTCTAATCCTTATTTTTTTCTGTACTTTCCGATGGAGAGAAAAAATGCATTTCTTCTTGAGAGAGAGAGGACCCTTCTCTTATTTATAAGAGAAAATGTAAGTTTCTTGGTAAGAGACAACTTTTTTCTTAATTATCTATTATTAACCACCATCCATTATGATGATTATTGACTAATATGATTTATGATAATTTAATTAATTAATTAAAGCGAAAGAATACAATGTCTTTTGAGAAGAGACATGACTCTTCATTTAGGATAATTGAATTAATTAATTAAAACAAAAGAATGTGGTTTTTATTGGGAAGAGACATGAACATCTTCTTTTTAGTTAATGAATTACCAATAAAATAAATGACAGTGGGCCACATAAATGAAAAACTGATATTCTCTTACTTGGCCCACGTAATACTTAATAGTGCATAACATACTGCACAAAAGTTAAGTTAAAATCCTTCTTTATATTAGTCAAATCATAAATCATTAATAAGTATGAAATTAATATGAATCATGGCAGTTGTGTATCAATTTATCGACATAGTTCCTTCTATGGATCACAATATCAATTGCATACTTAACATAATGAGAAATAACTTCATTGTCTCATAATGTCTATTAAAAGACAAATCTTGTTAAACATCGTACAACATAAATTATATACTAGTGATAAAAATAAAATACATAAATATTAGAAAACGAGAATAAATTGAGCTCAAAGTGTCAAACATAAAGAGAATTAAACAAAAAAAATTAATAAAGGGTTTCAGTAATGCTCAGTCTCACAACATGTTCGTTAAATGTCTGTGGTGGCTACCATTTTGTTAATGGATCAGTAATCATAAGATTGGTGCAAATTCAATTGACACCCTATATTTTTGAACTTCTTCTTTAACGACGAGGTACTTTTAATTTCATATGTTTAGCACCTTTGTAATACCTATCATTTTTAGAAAAAAAGACTGCTGCGGAGTTATCACAATAAATTTTCAGTGGCTTGACAATACTGTTGAAAATTCCAAGTCCTGAAATAAAATTCTGCAGTCATAATTTCTGAATTGTAGCTTCAAAACATGTCACAAATTCAGCTTTCATAGTGGATGCAATAATGATGATCTGCTTCACACTTTTTTATATTGAATTTCTTAAGAACTCTATCAATATATGTTTTCTAAGACAATCCTAACAATCATTGTGACATATCATGAAATATTTCAATTCCAATCACATAGGATATCTCACTCATATCTTTTATTTCAAAGTTCTTAGAGAGAAACTTCTTGGTTTCATACAATAAGCCAAGAATATTAGTAGCCAACAAGATATCATCAACATACAAAATGAGAAATATGATATTGCTCCCACTAACCTTCAGATATATATACCGATCAACAGTGTTTTCTTTAAATCCAAAGGAAGTGATGATATCAATGAACTTAAGATACCATTGTCGAGAAGCTTGCTTAAGTCCGTATATTGATTTCTTAAGTTTACATACCATGTGTTCCTCTCCTTCAACCGAAATCCTTCAGGTTTCTTTTAGACATCTTCATTTAAATTTCCATCCAGAAAGACAATTTTCACATCCATTTGATATAATTCTAAATCATAATGAGCTACTAATACCATGATAATTCTAAATGAATCTTTCTTAGAAACTGGAGAAAATATTTCTTTATAGTCGATGTCATCTTTCTGTGTGAAATCTTTGGCAACAAGTCTGACTTTATATCGTTCAATATTGTCATTCGAGTCGTGTTTGGTCTTAAAGACCCATTTACACCCGAATCTTTTACAACCTTTAGGCAATTCAATGACATCCCAAACTTTATTGTGATCCATTGATTTCAACTCATCTTTTATTGCATCTAATCATTTATAAGAATTTGCACTTTATATGACTTGTGAAAATGAAACTGGATCTTCATTGACTCCCAAGTCAAATTCAGACTCATGTAGATAAACCACATAATCATCAGAAGTAGCAGACCTTCTTTGTCATTGAGACCTTCTAGGTATAACTTCATTTGGTTCATCTAATGTAGGTTCATTATTGATAGTTTCATTATGGGGTGTTTGATCATTCATCTATTGTTCCAGTCAGTTGTCAGACTGTTAAAAAATTGTAGAAATAACAACTTGAGAAGAAATTTCATGTAAAGAAACTTGAACCATAATTTCTTAGATTTTCACTTTACGTGATTCCAAACTCCCACTAACTTTACCATTTTCAATGAACTTAGCATTTTCAGCTTTAATAACTCTCATATTGTGGTTAAGACAATAAAATTTATACCATTTCGATTTTTCTGGATAACCAATGAAGAATCCACTGGATGTTCTTAAGTCCAGTTTCTTTTCATGTGGATTATAAATCCTTATTTCCGCTAAGCAGCCTTAAACATGCTAAACATGCAGGTGCCTTAAACTAGATTTCCTTCCTGTCCACAGTTCAAAGAGAGTCTGTATAACTGCTTTACTAGGAACTAGCCTTACTAGGAATCCTGTTTAACAAATATGCAGTGGTCTTTAAAGCATGCATCCACAATGATAAGGGTAAATAATAATTGCTCATCATACTCTTAACCATTTCCATCAGAGTACGATTTTGTCTTTCTGCAACACCATTTTGTTATGGTGTTCCTAGCATAGTATACTGAGCACATATGCTAATAGTTTGAAAGAATTTAGCAAATGAACCTAGACATTGTCCAGATTCATTGTACCTTCCATAATATTCACATCCTCTATAAACCTGATGATTTTCAATTTTTTGTCTAATTGTCTCTCAACCTCAGTTATAAACACCTTTAAGACATCTAGTGATTGAGATTTTTCATGTAATAAGTAAATATATCCATAATGTGAAAAGTTATTTATAAAGGTGATAAAATATTTTTCTCTATCAAAAGATGGAACATCAAAAGGTCCACAAACATTAGTGTGCATAATTTCAAGGAGCTGTGTGCTTATTGTGGCAGCTTTCTTAATTTTGCGTTTTGTGTGTTTTCCCTTAATACAATCAACACTGATTAAATGAAAACATTAATAGTGTATTCAAAATCTCCTTTGTGTGATATAACATTACATAATAATAAACATAATTGATGCTTGAATTGTTAGTTTCACATAATTGACATTTGTTTATACTCAAATTAGACATGCATATTATCTTTAGATATATAAACATATCTAACCAACATATCTTATCTAACCAAATATATAAATATGTCACAATCATATTCAAAGATTATAAAACAAATAATCAACATTTGGGCGATCCAACAATATTTTACAATCAATGAATTTCAATATACTGATAATTAAGTACAAAATTGTTTCATAATAAGCATCACATACCTATGAGTAATTGAATTAATTTAATTTGATGTCTATTAAACATACTAATTTGGCCACTTTGGTGACTAATAAATTAAACATAATATTGACATCAAATAAACAATAATATCTCAATTCACCGATTAACTTTAGTGATCTAATTTCAAGATCTAATGTACAACAAAAATTTTATGCAATTAACATAAATAAATTAAATAAAAAATCACAAATTCAACAATCGAGACTCTGATACCACATGTTAGAATTTTTAAATTTATAAAATCCAACTTCATGACCCAAAATTCATAAAATTAAATGACCAAGATATTTGAATTTATGATTTTCACATACTCATAAATGAGATATACATACTTGTATTCATGATTGTAGAATTCAATTTAAAGAGATAGAATTTCTCTCTCTAATCCTTATTTCTTTCTGTATTTTTCGATGGAGAGAAAATATACATTTTTTCTTAGGAGAAAGAAGACCCTTCTCTTATTTATAAGAAAAAAGATAAATCTCTTGGGAAGGGACACAAGCTTTCTTTTAATTATCCATTATTAACCATCATCCATCATGATGATTATTGACCAATAGGATTTATGATAATTTAATTAATTAATTAAATAATTAATTAATTAATTAATTAATTAAAATGAAAGAATAAGATGTCTTTTGGGAAGAGACATGACTCTTCATTTAGGATAATTGAATTAATTGATTTATGATAATTTAATTAATTAATTAAAACGAAAGAATACGATGTCTTTTGGGAAGAGACATGACTCTTGATTTAGGATAATTGAATTAATTAATTAAAATAAAAAGATGTAGTGTCTATTGGGAAGAGATACGATCCTCTTCTTTTTAGTTAATGAATTACTATTCAAATAAATGACAACGAACAACATAAATGAAAAATTAACAGAAAGAAATTGGATGTCCATAATTGATATTGTACATAAAAAATGTGCTAGTGCTCATCTAGAGGGGATCTAACGGATGAGAAGAGTACGACGAGGAAGACCTCCCTATAAAAGAAGGTGATGCTCACTCCGACCGAATGCAACAATCTGAGCTAAAGACGACAATGCCAAAGCCAGCTGGAGACACAATGAAGACAAAAATATAATAAAAAAATTCGTGTCCAAACTGTTCAGTAGGAAATGAGACAAAGAGTCGTTTGACCCAACAACCATGAAGAAGCCTACTCGAGGGAAAACCCAATCCCTCAACATCTCCAACAATATCAGAGACGTTCAGTAGTCTCCTAATACATTATCAAGCATCGACAAGTCTAGATCAGCTGACCAACAACGTCAACTAAGTCTAGTCAACTAAACCGCTACTGCTAATACGAAGTCAATCAAGCTCAGTAGGCTGAGCCAAGGAATAGCCTAGTGATAGGCTAATACATGTAAAATACAAAAAATATCATGTACAACCATCTTAAAAGTAGGAGCAAAATGTAGCATCATCACATTGTACTCTCTCTTCATCTCTTTTGAATAGTGAGATTATTTTATGAATAAGACACGATGTATTAATGTTCACTCCTATCTCTCTCTCTCCCCTTTTCTCTCCACTGACTTATGCTCTATTTTTTGGGGTGTGATTCATATAAAAATCAAGATTCAACAGATATAAATTTAATTATGAAGGTTCTAAAGAGTCAAGAGTCAAAATAGTTTCCGACTATTTATATTGAGCCTTTTTAGTCCCAAAATTTATAGAATTGTCAAAATAGTCCCCCACTATTTTAAAATTGAGTTCTAATAGTCCTCCATGGGGATTTTTTAATCCCCAATTTTAAAAGTCTAAGAACTATTTTGCACTTCTATAAACTATAGAAATAAAACAACCCCATGTAAATATTATGAGACTATTCCAACACTTTACTTAAAATGTATCTGGTAGAGATGTAAATACATAAGAATTGCGTGGTAAACATGTAGATGCCTCTTATATCCATCTATCCATCTATCCATCTATCCATCCAACTACCTATCTATCTATAATCAAATGATAATTTATTAAATTTATATTATACTAATCTCAAAATAAAATAAATAATTATAAAATTTATTACTCATTTATGAACTTCTATGGATATCCCTACAAGTTACAACTTCTTCAACAGCAACATTATCCAATATTTACATTCAAACTACTTAAATTTATCCGACCGAATGCAAGTCTAAGAACACACGTAACAAATGCATGTTCGATAAACAAACTTCAATTAACGCAGCTACACCATTTCAACGTTACAATTTATTAATAATTAATGATTTGAATCTCAAATAAATAAAGCAAAAAAACGCAAGCAAAACGTATGAGACACATATTTTCAAAATCACAATAAATTCAGGAGTGCAGGATGTCTGGAATAGTTGGTAGAGTGGTGGAGCGTTTCTCTACAAGAGGTTGGAATTCAACATATATTCTAATCAGTGATCACTAAGTTCTAATTTAATTATCATTAAAGCCAACTTAAAAAAAAAAAACAAAAAATTCAGTACAAATTAATTACATAGAAAAAACGGCATTCAAATCACAAAACAATAATAACAAAGTTATCACCATCAAATAATAATAAATAGTAATATTTTAACTTCGACAAAAAAGAACACAGATTGACCCAATAAATACGCATATATATATATATA